TGTAGAACAATTATTGCATTATATAATATAAACAGTGCTTTATCATTAAATAATTCATTTACCTTATATAATAGTGCAATAGATTTTGCTATTTTTGTTCTTAAATAGTTTATATGACACTTTCAATCAAATCTTCATCAATAATAACACCCAAGAACAGTTGTTTATAGTTTGAATGTAACAGAACAATTGTTATCTTTTACTTTTTAAACTTATTGTGTTGCACTGAAATGTAAATTTTAAATTTACAAATGATTTGAAATCTATTTTTCTTAAACAAAAGAAGAAAATAAAAAAAATCTTTTTTTTTTCTTGTGGGGGCTGGGGGGGCTCATTAGCAGGTCAGATCCGGCCCCCAGGCCACCAGTTGAATAGCCCTGGTTTAGTGTTTTTGTCCTGAACTGGTAGATTYTTGCTAATGGATGATGAGTTTTTGGGCAGTTCTAAATCTTTTTTAGTTATTTATCAAAAGTCATCTTTAAATAAAATGTTTCATTACTTGGATTTATGTTTTGAAGACTCTTGTCTTTATGAAAGTTGAGGTGTTACCGAAAATTGACTGTTATGATTGAAATATTTTCACCTAAATGTGCAGAAAAACCCAGGAWAAAGAGAACAAAAGACTAATTAAAGTCATGTTTGTTTCTCATTAGCTGCCTCGTGTTCTGGACGGTCACTCTGACGGGATAAACATTCACTTCTGGGTCCGAGTCGCGTCCGACGCTTCTGACAAACTGCAAGAGGTGAAGAGTGTTTTTATTTATTATTTTGTTTGTTTTGTTTTTGTTTCTTTCAGCTCCTCATTCAAGAGTTCACTGCTTCCTATTTTTAACGGTCAGGAAACAGTTGCTTCCTGTTGCCTGAGTTTTTACGCACACAGACAGTAGGGAGATATTTGTGTGCGTGTGAGGACATTAAACATTTAATGTGTCTGAGAGAACAAGCTCAGCTCCATTTTCTCCATCTTRATTCTGAAGGTTTCCAGTCACTCACTTAGTTTGGTCACATATCTGAGTTTTTCTGTGGGTAAATATTCTGCAGCCTTTTGTTTATTCTAGATGTAAACGTTTCTTTGGGACATTAATCGCTGCTGACAGTCAGACATCCTGTTGGTGAGATGCTTATCTCTGCCAGGACTTAGAGACCAGGATCTAAACAACTCAGAGAGAGAACACAGCCAAGTTCTTCAAAGTAAAAGTCAGAAGAAAGTCACACAGTTTTTATAATTATAACCAAGAAAATAAAAGCTTGAAGAGATTCGAGGCTTRGATTATTTATAGTTGAAGTGTACAAATGGTGCTAATAATCCATTTAAGAAATATTTATATTATTTTTAACCATTTATTAGTTACCCAGTTAAGGTTAAACATGCTAATTGTAATTGTTTTCAGAATAAATTTAATGTTTGTTGATTTTCCAAAGACTCACATTTGGGTTCTCATGATCCACAAAGAGCCCTGATCCCAACCTTTCTTCTTCTTCTTCTTCTTCTTCTTCTTCTTCTTCTTCTTCTTCTTCTTCTTCTTCTTCTTCTTCTTCTTCTTCT